TTATAGTTTATAGTTTATAGTTTATATCTTATATCTTATAGTTTATATCTTATATCTTATATGTTAAATGTTACAATTTACATATTATATCTTATAGTTTATATATTATATAGTATATGTTAAAATATGTTATAGAATATTATACTATATGTTATATACTATATATTATAATAATATATACTATATGTTAAAATATATATACATATATACAATATATTTAAAAAAAAAAAAATTAAAGAAACCGTATTTGCTGAATACGGTTTACAATTAAATCTTACATAAACCGTATTCAGCAAATACGTTTTCTGTAAGATATAACAAAGACGAATTAGTCGTCTTCTTCCTTCCTCACGACACAGCACACAGAGAGAGCGAGAGACAGAGCGAAAAAAAATTAAAAAATTCCGCCCACCCGAAAGCCGCCGAGCCACTGCCGCCAAGAACCACCGCCGCCGCGCCACGACCGCCGCGCCACGACCGCCGCACCACCACCTCAACTGCAAATCGAACGGATCAATTAGGTAAAATGCCTATATTTTTTTTAAATTTTTCAATAAATACGAATTATCATAATACGTTTTTAAGTTAGGATTTCATTATAATTTGATGTTTTAGAGTGTTAGGGTTGATTAGAATTAGGGAATTGATTAGAATTAGGTGTTTCGATTTAGGGTTTGTTTAGAATTAGGGATTTTTCGGTATTATGACGTTAGGGTTTCGATTTAGAACTTCGAATTAGGGCTCGAAACTATAATGTTGTTGAAAATGTGAAATTGTGAAATTGTGAACTATTGTGTGTACTATTGTGTGAATTAGTGTGTGAAGTTCGATTTTTCGGAATTAGGACTACAAATTGGACTTCGAATTGTGAAATTGTGGACTCGATTAGAATTAGGTGTTTCGCGAGTGTAGCCGAGAGCCGAGGCCGTTTGATTTTCATTATTTCGAGCCGATTAGTTTATTACGGAAGAAGCTAAAATGGAATTTAATTGAGTTGAGTTGCAAGTTATATTGAGCCTATTATTTTTCTAATAAATTACATATAATCCTTATAGTTTTTTTCTTAATTGTTTGTAGATAAATGGATTCATCATCCTCCTCACAGCCTCAGCAGTACAGTGTCCATCCTGGTCCGAGAGATGGCACTCTTCTATATCTCCAGTACCGCCACCGGTCGCAGGCGGTATTTAATAATGCGCCGGGAGCTCGTGACACGACGCTCTCAAACCGCCGTTTCGACACTCAGTTCTGGGCGGCTTTGTCAAGCCAGCCACGGTCGGTTTGGGATGTCATTGACCGGACTGGTTTCGGACCCTTGTTTCGAATGGGTCGAATCCAAGCCGACAACAGCCTCCTTACTGCTCTAGTGGAGAGGTGGCGCCCAGAGACGAATACCTTCCATTTCGATTTCGGCGAGGCCACCATCACGCTCCAGGACGTACAAGTCCTATTCGGTCTGCCAATCATTGGTGCTGCTGTTGTGGGAGTGACTAGAGATCTAACACCCCTACAGTGGCGAGAGAGGTGCAAGGAGTTACTAGGGTACCAACCCTATGTCCAGGTATATTTTTTCATAGAATTTTGTTTAAATATATGTCAACTCAATTTTATTGTTTTAAATATGGAAAAACAACTCTCAGGATCCTCCCACCACCGAGGAAGAGCAGGCAGCCCAAGATCCAAAATCTTGGGACATTAAAGGCCAGTATCTTAATGATGGCGGGTTGGAGGAGGAATGCAACCGTGTGTTGCAAGAAGGCCAACCGGACATTGTGTACGAGCAGAGGGCGAGGGCCCTTATCTTCTGGTGCATTGGGTCCTTCATCTTCCCTGACCAGCGGGCGAATGGCGTCCCACTTTACTGGCTGGACCTGCTGCAGGACATAGATGCTGTTAAGGGGTACAGTTGGGGTTCAGCGCTCTTGGCCGGAGTGTATCGAGCGTTGTCAACCTCGTACAAGGCCAAGGAGAAGTGGCTGAAGAACTGAGTTCAATTGATCCAGGTAAGTTTATTTAATTGTTATTTGAAAATTTAATATTTTATTTTTTCTTACTTCGACTAATACTTAATACAAAAATTAATATCCATTTGTGTAGGTTTGGGCATGGGAGCATATCCCTCGTATTCGCCCAATAGTAAAGACCAGTGTGTTTGATAATCTGCCTGGTTGTCCATTGGGAGCGAGGTAATCACCGTTATTTTTATTTAATCCGTACATTTTTTTCATTATCAAATTTTGTGATTACAAACTTTTTTTTCTCTCTAATTTTTTTAAGGTGGAAGGGACCGAAAAAGAGGTCCAACATAGCCATGACATTGGCCGCTTACCGGGATCAGTTGACAGGGCTGGGAGAGTATGATGTAATATTCTTAATTCCTATTACTTGATTTATCTTTCTTTTTTTGTTTCTAATTTTGTAATAACTTAATTACTAATTCAATTGTTATTTTTTTACAGTTCGAATGGCAGCCCTATCAACAACACCTGCAGAATGATACTCTCCCGGAGGCGTGCTCAAGAGATCCACAAATATGGATGTACCGGGGGTGGATTTTCAGTTGGAACACCCGGGAGGTACACCTGCCTGACAGGGTCCTCCGTCAATTTGGGTGTCGCCAGTCCATCCCCCACGATCCGATCATTCTGGATGAGCGCGACTGGGACACACACCATAAGGGTCAGGGGATGACTGGGAGGGCGTTTTATGATTGGGCTGCATTCCATGTGCCGTTTCTGAGGTCGTGGACAGAAGAAATAGAACAACGTCTCCTCCCAGTTGCCCCCGTGCACGACTATCCACAGCCAGAGCAGGGTTACCTTCAATGGTTTCACAGCAGGACTGTGCGATTCATCAATAACCCTGCCAATTACCCGGTGTTCCAGCAGGCGGGCGGGTATCAGCCACTTGCCGAGCGGTTAGGCTGTCAGGTAAGTGTTCTTTATTTGTGTTTATTATTATTATTATTATTATTATTATTATTATTATTATTATTATTATTATTATTATTATTCTTTTTTTTTCTTTTTTTTTTTTTTGCGTTTCGTATTAATTATTATGAATTTTATTTACAGACTTCTGCACTACAAGGGGTTTATGGCGCATTATCCGACATTCAACCATTAATGCCTCAAATCCCTCCAGAAGCGCAGACCGGCTTCCAACAGTCGTACAACTTTGCCTACTCTTCTATGACTGTTGGGGGCCAGGGTGTTCCACATGTGGGGCCGTCTAGTCAAGTTTTCTCCCAGGACGAATACGTTCCCCCCATGAGGACACAGTCACACACGGCCAGACATCAACCCGCCCCCAACATTGGTGGGGGTAGAAGAGCTCGGGCCCGTCCCCGCGCTCAGCCGTCCGCCAGCACCTCCAACCTGAGCAGCCCGAGCCTCAACAAGGTGAGATTTTTAAATTAGCATTTTTTTTTATAGTTCAATTTATAATTTCTTTTTTCAATTGAAAGAAGAGGAGGATGAGCAGGCTTTTCAAACTGACACGCTTCTCACACCTCAACCTTCGTCTTTTTCTCACGTGGTATATACTCGGAGGGGGTCCAGACCGCGCAAACCTACACAACCATTCACTCCTTCCTAGTTAGTTGTGTTGAATTTGTAGATTTTGTGTTTATTTTGAATTGTTGGATTGTCTGTATAAACCGAATTATATCGTTTTGTATATATTGTTTGTTCGGCAAATTATTGTGTTTCATTTTTTTGTTCGGCAAATTATGGTATGATGGATTTGGTTGTGAGCAGGTATATTTTTTTGTTGTGAACAGGTGTATTTTTTGGTTGTAAACAGGTGGATTTGATAGTGTACAGGATTTTGTATAAAAACGTATTTGACTAATACGTTTTCTATTTTTTAAATACATAAAACGTATTTCGTAAATACGTTTTCTGTTGAAATTAAAATTAGGGCAAAGGAAATCAATTTGGGGCAAAATTACAAAATAAAACGTATTTAGCAAATACGTTTTATATTCTAAAACTTTTTATCCAAAAAAAAATATTTTCGCGAAATGAGAAAATTGATTTTATTTATAAAACGTATTTCTTAAATACGTTTTATAATAAAAAAAATAATAGTTTATTAATTTTAATATGAAAACGTATTTATGTAATACGTATTGTAGTTTTTCAATATAAAACGTATTCAGCAAATACGTTTTTTTATAGGTTAATTACGTTGATTACGATAATTAACTTTAATAATTTTTGTTTACGGAAAACGTATTCACTAAATACGTTTTATAATTGAAACCGTATTTGCTGAATACGGTTTATAAAAGAAAACGTATTCAGTGAATACGGGCTTTCTATTTTGGTCCACTAGATTTTTTTTTCTTTCTTTTTTGTCCAGTTCATTTTTTGTTTTTTTTTTAAGGAAATAAATCGTACAAAAACGCTCATCCGGGCGCATATACATTGAACGAAAGCAAACGCATTTCGTTTTCGCTTGAGAGTTGAAAAATCTTGGAAAAAAGTGTCCAGAATTTGTTAACCTGTTTCCCAGATCTGTTTACTCGATTCTGTTTGCCCTATATTGATCTTCCTTGTCTTGTTGTTTTCCTCGGAGATTGGCGACTAACTCACCATGGTCTCGACCAGTAAAATTAAATCGGTTGACTTTTACAGGTAGCTGACATTTTCCATCGTTCATTTTATTCTTGTTTTCGTCGGATTAGATTGGTTATATATTATGTATTTCATCGGATTCTTGTGGGTTCCAGTGGAACATTTTCTGATGGAAAACCGTGGAGCTGTTTGGATATGTTTCCTGAAATGATACTCTTTTCTGTGTGCATAAATGTATGATCTAGTTAAAACGGAAGCATCACCTCTTCCCGGGTTTATTGTTACGAAAAGCTCCAAAAGATTCAGTTTTTCACTGTGAACAATTATGTTGTGTATCTATCTGTGTGATGTGTGCCGGTAGATTGGTGTAGCTGATATGCTATTGAGAAAAGCTGGTAATTGTGATTGTTTCTGTTGGATCTCTGTATGGTCGCTGTTCTGTTATGAAGACTTGACTAGGTTGTTCACTCTACGTGGTATTTGACCTGACTAGTGCAAGCTACACACTTCCTTTTCTGTTGGACATGCTCCTTTTTCCTGTTGTGCCTGGCACAGTTACTCATATTCTGTCTGAGATTAGAATACTGCATTATCTATGTAAATTCTTTAAGTTCTTAGCTCATAGCCAATATTAGTTCTACTGCAGAAAAAAGAAGAGATTGGAATATTTACATTCCCTCATTTTTAAGCATGCCTTTTGATTTGTTTCCTGTTTGTATATTCACTTCTTTTCAAAATAATATTGACCACTTGTGAAACTTAAAANAAAAAAAAAAAAAACAACAACAAAAACAACATAGCCTTTTAGTCCCAAGCAAGTTGGGGTAGGGTAGAGATGAAACCCAAGAGAACCAATGGTTTTAAAAACAGTTGTTTTAAATCTTGGTTTAGTAGCATTTGAGGAAATGATGCTTTTGTGTGGTACTATATTCAAAATGTTCAATTTAAGAGTGTACGTAGTAGGTGTGCCTGTCTTTTAGTAGGAATGCCCCATCAACCCCCAACTCTTCATTGCAGGAAAATTCCCCGGGACTTGACCGAGGCATCACTATCAGGTGCTGGGCTGTCAATTTTAGCAGCCTTTTCGATGATATTCTTGTTTGGAATGGTAGGAAGCTAACTCCTCACTAGCGGTGGTTAATTAATCCTGCCTAAACAAACATAGGCAAAGATTTCTCGTTTATTATTGATCTATATTTATTGAGAAGAATTTGTGTTCACCCTAACTAATTATAAGTTCTAAATAAGTCGGTTGCATGTTCGAAAACACCATTTAGTAAATTCTTTGTATGTGCCTTGTGAATTTATTTAATTTGCAGGAGCTGAATGATTATTTGAGGGTGAGCACCTCGACATCTGTTGTCGTTGACAAGAGTTCGGATGGAGACTTTTTACGAATTGATTTCAGTATGAGGTAAGTTTGCATGATCTTCCTTTACCATGCATTAGGTCCTCAAACAGAAAATTATTTTCTGAGGAAGTGGTAGAAACTTGTTTACAGGCAACTTTTAGTGTGTTAGAATGAAGTGCCATTTTCAGCATTTAGTTCTATAGTCCTAAGACATAGAGCCTTGAAGCGAATTGACTCTTTACTTTTTGGTAATTGAAATCGACCATTGAAAATTTAAAATAAGCATTTTTGGTTGATCACCTGTGTGTAGGTTTTGCTACCATCAGTGTAGTCTTCTTTAAGTAGCTAAATTTTGTCTCTGCTATGTATAGTCTTGTATGACATCTATGTAGTGTTAATTTGTCTCTTCCAGTGTTATCAAATTTTTTTCATGGCAGATTTCTGCCTAACTGTCATTAGAAATTTGTGAAGGATGGCAGTTATGACGACGCCAACGGCCGCCATGGTGGTATTTCAGCCTGTCGTCATTTTCCGCCATTGACGACACTGGTCGCTTCTCTGATTATAGTTTCAAGTACCTTTATCAGACATGTTTGTCAAAAGGAAAATAATAAACCTTTGTTATCTGAAAACTCTACGAGGCCATGTTACCATTAATGTTTTGATTTTGTACCTGTAACTCTGTTTGGTTGATGACTTGTCTTAATTGATTAAATCTTCCCATGAGCTTTAGAAGGTTTATATTATGTTTTCTATCATTTGCGTGTTTTCTCACATTTTGTGGAGAAACTTTATTCACTTTGCATTTTGTCAAGATTTACCTTTACCATCTCTATTAATGGCTCCTTCAATTATTTCTTGCAGCTTTCCAGCACTGTCTTGTGAATTTGCTTCCATCGATGTCAGTGATGTGTTGGGAACAGTAAGTTTCATTTTTTTTTTTTTTTTATATAAATACATCTTCAATAACAAAATACTTTTTAGCAGTTACTTCAAGTCATTTGCTTCACTAACTTTGCCTGGTGGCAAGATGTTAACTCAGTTATTATCTCTGTTCAGCCTTAAGTGAAAGAAAGTAGCTTCCAGAACATCAATGTTGTTGATATTGTCAGTTTAATATTGGTTATTACTCTGGAATCTGGAGCTTATGCTTCACGATGTTCTGCATGAAAGTTGCATACCAAATTGAGAAGTTTTGTGTATTTATGACACCTTCAGTGAAATTGCTCAGCAGTCAGCATCCATTGTTCATGCACATAGCATAATATTGTCGTTTGTAACTTAGCTTCTTAGAGTGGATTTTAGTTCTTTCATGGACTTGTAGTTTCATATGGAAGTGGGGAAGTGTAGTTGGGTTGAAAGCTATAGTGATGTAATTGCTGGCATCAAGATGAACTAGTTGGGGGGTGCTATATTGATTTCTTTAGTTGAAGTAAGAATGTTATTTTATATACAATGCTATTAACAGAAAAGTAACAAAGTTCTTAAATGGTCGATTAAAAAAATTCTGACCAAGAATATCATTGATTTTTATTTTGGGTGAAAATTGTGGTTATTTATTTATTTATTTATTTTAATTTTATCTAGCCTGTAGTTATAATTTCTTGGTTTTTCAAGGAATGACATGTAAAATCTTATTGGCATTAACAAATTTACAGTTCATTGAACTTTATTTGATTGATTACGCATATAAGTTAGCAGCTCATCCTTAAGTTCATCAATTTCTATTATTTTAAAATTGCATTTCATATTTTTCTTCTTATGCTACCAATTTTTACATGACCTAACTGTGTCTCTTGCCTTCAGAATAGGTTGAATATAACTAAGACTGTCCGCAAATATTCAATAGATTCAAATTTAAATCCTACTGGTTCTGAGTTTCGATCAGGGCCTGTTGCCAAAACAGTTAAGCACGATGATGAGGTCGATGAAGAGCATAATGAAGGTTCTGTTGTACTCACTGGGAACAATTTTGATAGAATTTCACACCAGTACGTGTCTTGTACTTGACACATTATCTGCGATTTCCATATCGGTTATCTGCAATTTCCATATCAATATCTGTTGCATTTTGCATTAAATCTGCTTGGGTGATGTTCTTGATTCATGTACTGATATCGTCCATTTGTCCTAATATTTCTTCCACAGGCATCCTATTTTGGTAGTAAATTTCTTTGCCCCTTGGTGCTACTGGAGCAACCGCCTGGTATGCTCATTTTACTGTCTTACATTTTACTTACTGTCTTACATGTTTTTTAGCCAGCATATATTATATTTTTCCCTCTCCACCATTAATTGACATAATTAGGAATGGAATATATTGCATTAACCCCTTGTCTCTCTTCTGTCGATTCCAGCAACCTTCATGGGAGAAAGCTGCCAAAATTATCAGGGAAAGGTGTTGTCTGTTATCCTTTTATTTTTTTTTTATAAAGTTTCATCATTTTAAATAGGAGTTACCAGCTTGGAGATTGTATTGATCTACCCATGACTTTATCAGCTTTGTTCTTTCAGATATGACCCAGAGATTGATGGGCGTATTCTAATGGGGAAGGTTGATTGCACTGTAGAAGTAGAATTGTGTAGAAGGTACTTCCTAGATAATGGTTTCACCTCGATATATTGTTTTTCATTGTGCTAATGCGGAAATCGTGTTAGCAGTTTTGGTTAATCAGAATTAGTTTCTGTAACTATGCTATATTTCCATTCACATTGACATTTGTTGTTTGTTTAAGTGGGAATCCCTTTAACTTTATGGCATGAGAAATGCTTGTAGACACCCTTGTTTGTTTATACTGGTGTGGCCCATTTGGATATCATCTTGTAGAAGAGTATGGGAAACTTTTAATACTATTAGATTCTTTGGTGGTGAGTAGAACTTGAGGTCTCCAAAGATTAAAATTATATCCTTATAATGAATTATATTGCAAACTAATAGAACCTTCTTAAAGTTACTATCATTGTAGTGAGGTTCTGGACATGTAATTTTTAAGTTAGGATAGTTTGAGGCCTTCTCCATTCTTCCATTTCACAATAAATATCTTATGATGTTTGTGTTTCAGTTTTCCGATGCGAGGTTGACTTCTTGACATGTATTTATTTAAGCCTTATGCTTTCATGGTTCACTTTATAGGCAGATCCTTTTAATCATTAGTAATTTGTCTCTGGAAGTCTGTGTTATATGTTCTGGAAAACCACCCTAGTTCTTCATCTCTTTGTTCTTTAAATAGATATTCTTTTCCAACAAATTTGCAGGAATCACATACAAGGGTATCCATCTATCCGCATCTTCCGCAAAGGAAGTGATATAAGGCAAGATATATACTTCAAGATATTCCTCTTTTAATAAAATTTGCTCTGTTTTCCGCGCCAATAAGCCTTTTGTCATTTTAATTTCTGTTATTCTGTTAACATTGCTTTCTGAACACAGAGATGATCACGGCCATCATGAACACGAGTCATATTATGGAGATCGAGATACAGAGACCCTAGTTGAGGTGAGAATCTGACAGCCTTTAGTTGGAATAAGACTATAGTGGAGGGTTGCGAATTCCTAAATATTATTCAAAATGTTGTGCTGTTATGTTTAAGAGCTCAACACCTTTTGATTTCAATGAGATATTTGGATTGAATAGTATAACTGGTGATCTTACCTTATCTGTAAGAAATCAAATGGACTATCTTTTTGCAGACAATGGAGGAATTGGTAGCGGCAATTTCCGTGCAGTCTCAAAAGGGTTCCGATAGTCTGTCCACCGAAAAGAAAGATGACACTAAAAGGCCAGCTCCTAAATCTGGTGGATGTAAAATTGAGGGTTTTGTACGCGTGAAGAAGGTAACATTACTTCCAAAGATTCCATGGATAAAAAGTCACGCATGATTAATATTTGTGATTGCATTATAACAGGGTTTTACTTATATGATATTTAATTTCCTCTCATGTTATCCAGGTCCCCGGGAATCTCCTCGTTTCTGCTCGGTCAGCTTCACATTCTTTCGACCCCTCTCAGATGAACATGTCCCATATCATTTCTCATTTCTCTTTCGGTAAAAAGATTAGCCCAAGGGAAATGAGTGACATGAAGCGTGTGCTGCCATATTTAGGTGGGAGTCATGATAGCTTGAATGGCCAGTCATATATCAGCAATCCAAGTGATTCTGATGTAAATGTTACTGTAAGTTTCTATTCTCTTACTTGTGTCATATTTTTTTTTTTTTCTAAAAAAAAAGATATAGTTTTTCTTTATTTGTTTTCTGGAATCATTTAGCTTGTTATTGCATCATCAAATTTTTATGTGGCAACTTGAGTACAGATTCAAACTCAGATGAACTTAATTATTAAATATTTTGTTCTGGGTGATTTATTCGGGAAATGTCCAGATCGAGCACTATCTTCAAGTTGTGAAAACTGAGGTCATGACGAGATCTTACAAATTAGGCGAGGAGTATGAGTATACGGCACACAGTAGTTTGGTTCACAGTATTCAGATACCTGTGGCTAAATTTCATTACGAATTATCTCCGATGCAGGTGTGCTGACTTTCTGTCAATTCTTTTAGTCGGCTGTTAAACTAATTTTCCAAATTGTTTAACGTTGTTGTTTTTCTTTCTCTGACAGGTTTTGATTACCGAAAACTCGAAATCTTTTTCTCACTTCATTACGAACGTCTGTGCAATCATTGGTGGGGTTTTTACGGTAGGTGTTCATGCCCTGATCCCACCTCATTAATTCCCTCACATTTGGCTAAACTTTAAATGTCTAATAATATTAATGTTTTCAGGTTGCTGGTATACTGGACTCCATTCTGCACCATACTTTGAGGATTATGAAAAAAGTTGAACTAGGGAAGAACTTTTGATCAAATGTTTGGACTAGCAGACTTTGTAAGGTAAACCAGTGTTGGTTTACACATCTGTATCACCCTTTTCCTGAGGGATGGTGAGATAATTTAAACTGCTGACAGTATAGTTTGACATCAAGATGTTATGAGGTACAAGAAAACTCTTGGTTTGATAGTTATCTATCGAAAACCAAAATCAAAAGATACTACAAGTGCATGTCCTGTGAAAGTCGATCAAATCAGACTAAAAAGGCGTAAACGATAATGCAGAACTATCTATATCCATTTTGCACATCACAAATACCACACATACATGAACCAAACAAATAATGAATCAACAGACATCCCAACCAAAACAACATTGTCAAGAACATCAAGCCGAAAACTAAAAACGAATAAAAAAAAAAAAAAAAACGCATTTATCGTGCACACATCAGATACCGAAAACAAGTGATGAACCAAAGAAGCCTGCAACAACTGCACTCACCACACTAGCCCCATTCATATAACCACTGTTTCTTGGGGGTCTCGACTCCTGAGAAGGTGCCGGAGTTGGGTTCGTCTGTGTCTCGCCGGAAGGCGGCGGTGATGGTGACTCCTCGCCGGCCGGAGCTGGAGAAGGAGGTGATGATTGTGGGGTCGACACTGTTCCATTTAGTCCGTGTGAGCTTTTTCTATCAGCCATGACCACCACAACTAGCTTCTCGTTTTTGCGGCAATTATCAGCGACCCCACTTATGAAGTAGTGTGGGCCCGACTGATTGAACTTGAACACGGTGTGCCCGTCTGTGAACTTCTCCAGGGCTATCTCTGTGTTGCAGTTTGTGTACTCTTCTTGGGTCACGTGCAGAACGGAGTCCTGGCCAGCAGCATATACAAACACTACAAGTACAAACCAAAGTGAAGGGAACTTCTGAGTGTTACGCTGTGAATTGCCTAAAAACTCAAGGCCTACATTTTGAAATCAACTGCAAGAATATGAAATTTTGTATGCTTACGCAATGTGTCGCCAATCTGAAACCGATTCTTTTCGGCCCAGTGATTGTAGATGGTAGCATTAGGATCTTTAGGGACCGTCCAGCCTGTTGAGCCTCCAACCTTAAAGTCGTATGCATCACCCTTTTGGGCCAATAATATAACACTCAGAATCCCGAAAACAAGAAAGATTTCTTGATATAGTCTTGGATTAGTTTTTTGAGACATATTGAGAAACAAGTACCGTACAAAGCTGAGGGTGATGTAATTAATACTTTGAAGTGCTTTGATTTTGTTGAGGCTATTGAAAGTCAATGCAAATAAACTTGGAGTATTTGTAGTTGAGGTGGCCATCAACTTTAAAAGCTGTGGGACTGAAGCTTTACCAACTTTTTGTTATTCTTTTCCTCCGTGGATTTCTTGGCTCCTGGTGCAAAGCATAACATTACTTTTCATGCAGAAAATTCTGTGTTTTTTGTGCTCTTTTCTAATCACTAATTGAGGCAGTTTATGCTTTGCTTGATGAGAACCAAAGAATCTTGAAGCCTTGCATTTTGGGAAATGGTATCCATATGAGTTTATAAGGGAGCTTTAATTTATAAATTTCCAGAGCCGGTCCTGAATATATTTAGGCCCTGGGCAAATGTAAAAATAATGCCCTAATTGTTATTATTTATTCTAACAAAAAATGTTAGAAATTATAAAATACCAACAACAATATTTTTTTCCTAAAAAAATGACAAAACTTACATAATATCAAATATAAAATACAACTTCATGATGAAAGCTAACAACAATAAGCAAAGTAAGATGCAATAGAGATATAACTTCACGAGTGTTTTCACAAAATGCAATTACCCAAGAAAAAATTTAGATGCATCAACAAAATTTATATATAAAAAAAATTAAGGGTAGTTAATCACTTAAAAAAGACTTATTCGGCTATTTGTAGCGACAAAATCATCATGTATCTACAATCAAAATTTTCAGTAATATAATTTTTTATTGTATAGAATTGTTAATACATTCTTATATTGCCTTATGGTTATTTTTAGTGTATAACTTGCACTTCAATTAAAGTTTATTTAGTTTTAATTTGCACTTCAATTGGAGTTTATATAATTTACTATTTATCAAATATTTTTTATGTGCATGAAAGATCTCTTATATACTATAGCTATGTTTGGATTATAAAATAAATATCTCTCCTAGAAAAATAACTTATAAAATGGTGAATCATACAAAACCACAAATCAACCTTAAAAAGTTACAAAATAAATTCTAAATAAATATTAAATTTATTTAAATATTTTTAAAACAAACCTTGGATAAATCTTAAATCCTATTTATAGTATTTTTAGTTAACAACATTAAATGAAAAAATAATTATAAAAACTGCCATTAAATAATTGATCTTTTCACATAAATAAAATAAGTAGGCATAAAAAGAATATAATAATAATACAAAATAGATGAAGTTGAAAAAGGTGTTGGTAGGCTATGATTTGTGTGACAGTGTAAATGTGTGTGAGAGTGGTGAAAGATGTTATAAGAAAGAGAAAAAGTAATTTATAAGAAGAATGTGAAATGACATTCATAATGTAAGAGATGTAGACAATAAAATATTTGTCCATGCTTTCTCTCATACAATATTAACTTTATTGGAAGTTATTAAAAATCAGATTTTAAAATTTAAAAAGCACGTCTATGGGCTGGTGCAACTGGGCCCTGGCTGAGATTTTGAAAGCACATATATGGGTATATGGGCTGGTGCCCCTGGTTGAGATGGGCCCTGGGTCGTCGGCCAGGTTGCTCTGTGCCAAGGCCGACCCTGTTTATTTCGAAAAACTACTACTTTTTTCAGACTAGCGATGCATGTGGTGGTTACTAAGGCTCCGTTTGTTTCGAGGGATTTAAAATCCATTGATTTTAAAATTTTTGAAATATAAATTTTCTTACTTACACACTCCTTGAATAGATGTGTAGAAAATATTATAAACCAATAGACTGATGCTAAAGTTGCAGCACATTCTACATAGATGCCAGAACATAACACGACGTTATCTCATCAGCCTTTTCTTCACTTCCCATACTCCTCTTTCTCTTGGGCCATTGTCGTCCCACCGGGCACATCCGGACAAGCCTCAGAAAGCACTAACTTGCACCCTTTCGTAGTTAACACTATGTCCAAGTTTATTTTTCAGTCAATATAGTTGGGACCAGTAAGTTTGTTTTCTTTGAGAATTACGAACAAATGAATCCTGAGATCATGCAAATAAATTTCCTTCGTCAAGTCTTGAACTTAATCTTAAATACTGATCCATTAATATTAAATTCAGCGACACCTCAAAACATCCAAAAAACGCATGCCCCGAGGGTGGACGTATACAGATTTTACCGTCGCAAGAGGAAGGTTTTATCCCATTAATTATCCATGTTGACTTTTAAATTTCTCAACACATAATTAATAGTCAGTCCACTTTTGGCTCACGCAAATAAAAGTGGAGGCTCTGAGGGGAGACCACTAATAAATGTACTCTAAGTGTGACCCATTACTTGGTACTAAGTCTACTACCAAAATTATACATCCACCGAGAGAAGTCCCGTACGCTTTTAAAATAGTTTTTTACTACCATCCCGAAGGAAGTCTGTTCTGGTGAAATGTGATTAAAATTTGACCTAGGGGAGGAATGCCCAAAGCCAACACACAAACTTAATCACTTCACCAATAGGTTAGTAATAGAGGCCGTGGAATGTTATAAATTTATTGATTTCATTAAAACCCTTAGTATAATTTAATTAAGAAATTTTCCTAAGCATGCTCCTACCAAAAATTAATTATTCTTGCATAAGAAGCAACAAATTAATTTAGGCACATTCATAATTAGAGGCAATAATAAAACAAGAAAAGATATCTAACTATTATGGTCACTAATTTGAATCTCAATCCGATGAAAACTAATGATCCTTGCCCTTGTAGAATTATAGATTCTTTTAGACTTGGAATTTTCTTCCCATGTGACTCTCACCTTCCTTTCCTAACAACTCTGTCGCCGTCGTTGCCCTTGCCGTACCGCCATCGTCGCTGAAAAACTTGTCGACGTGGAAAAAATTGTGCTGCTGTGTCGTCGCTCACGCCGAAGCTAGTCGTCAATTCCAGGGCATGCCACAGCCAGCGTCGTGCTGTGCTTTAGCCAAAAGAGGGAATGTACCGTCTGTCAATGGGAATAACAAAGCAGAAATTTTGAATGAGCACGAAATATCAATATATTCATTCTTTCATTATTCGTTATTTCCGGGTCTTGCCCATAACAAACCTCTATGCGGTTGGGGAGTTGCTCCTTCCAAAGAAGAACGAAAAAGCGAAATCAACTGCACTTGACCTTTCCAGATAGGTCTTCCTCTATAACTCTACCGGATGCTTGAGAGTTCGTGCGAAAGTACCAAAGCTTGAAATATTGATAGGTCGCAATTCAATTACATCGACCCTCAAAACCCCAACAAAGTGGGAAAACTTCGCCCGGGGCACCGATGCACGCGCAAAAATCGTGCACAACCAGCCACGTTGTCTGATTTTTTAGTGCGCGTTGTCCTAGCGAACAACTGCAGTTAAACGAGATATGCGTGAACAAATCGCATGCTCGTATTGCTCATGCTCGCCCAGCCGCGAATTTGCAGCTCCTGTCCCACCGCGCCCTTGTTGCCGTCGCTAGTCGCACAATGTTTCTCTGATCACGCTCCGATAACGACCGTGCTCGGCGGCAAGCTGCCAGCGGGCGCACGATGCTCTCGTGCACCAGCCCACGGGTCACGATTGGCTCGCCTTGTCAGGGCTGCGGCGGTCGTCTCTTAACTCGTCTAGGCTCATCCTTGATCTTTGGGTTAGTCAATAAATATAATAAAACAATTACATAAATTGATCCAATGATTCACGCAGGGGCCATACATGAATGATTCTAATAGATCGATAAATTCCACCGCACGTTTAAACATATTACAACAATTCACAACCCAAAAAATTTTCCAACATGTTTGAGGCTTAAAAATGCAAACATACATGCAAAATAAAACATATACATACAGGCCATAATAGTTGGACAAGAATATTTGCAAAGACAAATATCCTGCAATTGTATATTGTTATACGTTGCGCCCGTACACAAATATTTCAGGCACGTTCACATAATTTCTAATTCTAATTGTGCATAAACGCTAAATTAGACGGGCTCTGATACTAGTTGTTGGGTTAAGAGATGAACGTCAGCCTAAGTGAACTTTCAAATCCTACCGAATTAAATCCTAACACAACGAAATCTATTGTTAGGATTGAGGACATAATTTTCAAAATTATTGCCGACTCTGAGACGTTTATACAGCCTAAGGGGCTAGACTACGGCTGCAAACGAGCCGAGCCGAGTCGAGCATTGGCCTTATCGAGCAGGATTGAATTTCTTTTTGAGCTGCTCGAGCTCGATAAAAAAATACAAGAGCTCGAGCTCGGCTCTAGCTCGACTCGAATTTAACTCGAGCTCGGCTCGAGTTTGGTTCGAACTGATGGTCGCAAGTGCGATGCCTGATGCCGTTCGTGGTCCCGGCGGTGTGCTCTTGGTGCCGCCGGTGGTCCCGCTGTATTCGGTGGTTGACGATGGTTGGGTACTTCGAGTTTAGTGGTCGTCGGACAAGTCCCAACGTAACATTCATAAGTTATTGTCTTACAACAACAACCCTTTTATTTCAGGTGTTCAGTACTCATATAAACAACAAGAGAGAAGAAGATCAAACATAGAATGCTTAGCATACCTCGAAAGCAACATGAGACTTGCGTGTATTTTTGATTTTAACCAATCCTATATGAAACTAAAAGAATAGATGACGTAAAATTTTCCTGAAAGAACCCTAATTAGTAAATTCTTATATATGTATTATTATCTTTTAATAATTATTTATTTAGTTGAGATTGTTTTTTTTCTCTCTTCACTTGATTCTTTTCATTTACACACCTCATTTAATTGACGTCATTCTTTTTCTTTTCCCAATTTTAGCATCCATATACGATTGTTGAGTAGTGAGATCTCAAAAATGTTCGCATCCATAACACACAACTCTTGAGCGGTGTTGTCAGTATTTTTACCGGAGTAGAATCGAAAGATTCATCCCCGGGTCGTATCGCAAGGAAGGTTCGCCGGATATGGTGAAGCGACGGCGCTCAATCGGAAATCGGGGAAGAGGGCCTAGGATACGTGTAGCCGATAGGAGATATGGAGACAAGTTCGCCGTGAATAGAGGGTCGCTAGAGGCAGAGCAGTCAGAGTGATGGTGGTGGTTGGTCGGAGAAAACGCCGGCGAGGCTGCGGTTGGAAAAGACGAAATTTGGGGGTAGGGTTTGCATCGCGAGAATGGAGGAACGGGGACGATGGAGGGT